ACAGTAGTGTCAGCGCCAGCTATCCATCAATATTAGTAATAAAATTTTCTTAAATTTTCGTTTTTGTTTTTTTTAGTGATTAAATGTACTGGAGATGAACTTTAAAGGAAAAAAAGTGAAATGCCATAGCAGAGAATGGCGATTGTCGGCGTAATATGTGTCGGTATTTATACTGAATATATAGAAGCTCTGTATATTTCCTATGCATGTCGGTTACTTAAGTAAAGATAATAAATTTTTTTATAATTTCTTCAGGTAATTTGTATTTTAGAGCTTAAATTATGTGAGGGCGCACATTTTTTTTAAAGTTTACCTAATATTTATGAAAAATATTACACAGAGAAAAAAAATTTCGATCAAGTATTGTGAAAACTTTATTTAAAATTGATTATTTTCATTTATACCGGTTAGGTTTAAAGTAATGTTACGTATTGGTTAAGTTTTAAATTATTTTACTATTTCGTTTGCATGCCAGAATAATGCATATCCATATTTGAATTCGATTGAACAAAAGTTTTTGAACATATTTTAGAAATCCACAATGTTATACTTTTAGATTTTCATGTTTCAAAGTCGAATATTATTATATAAACCGGAATTTATGTTGGAATTACAGCCCTCTTACCTTAAAAGTTGTTGCTCAGAAAAACCAATATTGAAACTGCCAATAATACTAATATCACTAAGATATAGAGAAAAAATTATACTAAGAAGAGAAAAATAAGTTGAATGAATTTTGAGGTTTTAATGAAAAGGAGAATTTTCAATATTTATTAAAAGTTCACAACGTTTCTTAGAAGTTTCCGTGATCTTTATTTTAGAAATATAAATGAGTCATGTTAGATAGATTTTTTTAAAAAATAACAATTATTTTTTTATATCTTTATGTACGAATATTTTTTGGAGGGTATGATAATTTTAACATTTCGCTTTTAACCCTAAGAAATAAAGTACTTCTCTAAATATTTATTGGTTTCGTAATTATAGGCCAGATTTTACAGTAATTCCAAAACGCATTTTGCTGGATCGAACAAATTTTTGTTCGAAACTTTTATCAGATTTAATGAACTGTCCTATTTAAGAATTCAGCAATAGGTTTGTTCTTATATTAAGTACAATGAAACTCATAAAGTAATTATGTCGCAGAACGAATTTAATTACAATGTTCAAATTTTGGTATAAAAGAAGTTAAAAGCAGAGCCGTTATTTCAATTAGAATTTTCAAATGATTCGTGCAATATCTACGCATTAACACAGTCCTCTTCATCTATTCTTATTCTATTTTTCCTTGTATACAATAGTTGTTAGTGTGTACCTTATGAACATTAAAGAAAGTGATGTGTGAGGGTGATTTTCGAAAAAAATTATGATATCCATAGTTGTTCACTTGTCGTTGTTAGAAATTTTTTTTCTTTGGATTTTCTAAAAATTCAACTGCAATGTCTTATTTGGAGGAACTTGAATATTTAATTTTTTTTTTATTTCAGTATGTATTATAAGTCATGTACACTGAAAAAGATAAAATAATATGAGAACTATCAATCATTTTTATATTTGATCATTTAAAGAAGATATTGCGTAAATAATTTTATGAGGTGAGATTAAGATGATTTTTAATAAAAGGGAAGATTAACCGAACCTAGATTCAAAAAGAAAATGGAAGAAAATTAAAAAAAAATTTCTATTAAAACTTTTCAACTTTTGTGGCATATAAAACTGGGTTGCTGGAATTTTTTTCCAAAAAAAAAAATTATTAAATTTGTATCTGATGGCGATCTACAACAAAGTATGGGAGCTTTAAAAAAGTATTGTAATTTTAATATCCATATATGAAATTAAAGAATTCACCGTCGTAATTATAACAGTTATGTGGAACTATCAAACAGTCGAATATTTGGAAAAGTTTGAATTTTTATCAAGAATAATGCTAATATCTATTTGATTTTGTTTTATTAAAGTTGGTATAGTAGTGTGATATAGTAGTTTATAATTTGTTTGTTAATTACAAATGTAACATGAGATGATAATAACAAACATCAGAGGCGTTTTTTTTCCTTTTTGAGTCTTTTTTAGATTAATTTCTTTTTCTTTATTTTAGTTAATTTAGAAAGTAATTTAAAACTATTTTTTTATATTTCGCCCTCCCTTTTCATAATTTAATTTGCTACAAGATTTTCTATTCATATTTTTTTACAATTCAATTTTAAAAAAAAAATTAATAAATATATTTAAGGCAACGAAACGAAGACACGATAGTGTTATGCCTTTTCAAATCTAAGTTTTAAATTTAATTTTGCATTAGTTCTGATTCTCTATTTATTACGAAAAAAGTTCATTTGCCTTATCTTGCTATGTGCTTAGCCTAACATCGGTATTCTAGATGAAAATCAGGAAAAAATTCCATTTCTACATACTTTTATTTCTTTTCTACATTCTAATTTTAAAACAATGATTTAATAATGAAAAGATTCTAGATTAAAACTCTAGATTAATTGTTAGTGTGATAGGTTTTGTATTGTCAAACTATGCATGTGGTTGCATGTGGCAAATAAAGAAATTTTTTTTATAACTCAAATCATTTTTAGCTGCTAAGTTTACGACAATTTGAAATCTGTAACTAACATGAAGTATTTGTGAAGATGTCCTTTTGCATTACTTCGAAAGATTAGAAAATTTTAATAATTAATCATTGCAAAAATTATATGATTAGCTTCAATATAGCGTCAGAGTTTGCAGAATATTATGATTGCAGTTTAAACTATTTTGTCTATCTAAACCATTTTACAGTCAAATTAAGCAAATTCGACTTTGCAAAACCTAATTCAATAAAAAATATTTTTTATTAAATAATTTTAATTGTAATTTTATATAATGTCAAACTATGGAGATTTGATATTTTAAATAAGTCTAATGCTTCCTTAAAACGAATAAAATTTTCGTTTTCAATAATCGAAGAAAATTTTTAATACTACCAAAAGCCGCACAAATTTTTTCTAATTTTATTATTGTTTCAATAATAAACTCGCACCCTAAAGAGGTTTTCAAGCATTTACAAACTTTCTTTGATTTATGTTTTATACTCATTTCATATACATACATATATTATAACTATAAATATACAGATGTATTATATTTTAAGAAAAAAACAACTTTTATTAAAGAATCAATTTCAAACTTCTATTAGCAAAATGCTAGAATTAATTTGTAAAAACTAAATTGGTACAAGCAAAAAGATTTGAACCTATAAAAATTTTCATCTTCTTTCTATGCAAATTAACTGTTGTTGTCGCTGTCTTCACAGTCATAGTCGTTCCATAGTCTTCTTATTATTTTCCATATCTTTTTACCTTCTTTTGCTTTTTACTAATTTTTTCGCGTACTTTTATGAAATTCTATAATGAACGTGTTTCATTAAAATCGCAAACTCTGTCGAAACATACATAAAATATTTAGGACCATAAAATTAGGTATACTTATGTGTATAAAATAAAGCTTAGGTGTTTGCGTTTTCAACATTGGAAACGTAAAAGTATGTATGCACATACATATACATATAAGTATATGTACGTATATAACACTATTTTTATACATTTCAATTCAATTCTTGAAATAATTGAGATTAAGCTATAATACCCACATAGAAATTTATGTATTATTATATCTACATACAGACATATATATATATGTACATATAAGCGAATATATAGAAAATTTAGCAATTTAAAGACCTTCTGGGCGAAAGCAATATTCGAAATGTGAAAACTATAATGAAAATAATGTACAAAAAGAAAAATTGAAATGAAAATTGTGGGAAAGTCGATTATGTAGAAAAAGAATAAAAATACATCTTTAAATTTGAATGAAAATAAAGAATTGGAATATTAAGAAAATTACAATGAAAGAATGAAAACCATTTTTGATGAATGATCCTCAAGCAATAATACAATAAAATGAAAATATATGAATTAAAATAGCGAAAAGATATTCGTATTCATTCATAGATTGACTCAATTTATTGCGCGAATATAATTGATATGAAACAATGATGCCCTATTCCTGGATATGCCCAATATATACAAGCATTTATATACATATTATTGAATACTCGGATTGTGTTAAAAATTTCACCATTATTTTCCACATAAAAGTGATTCTATTATAATCTCGTAGAACTTAAATTCAATAATTTTAAAAATTGGATTTCAATTTCAATTGAAAAACCTTACTGATATATGTACAGTGTCAATTAGTTTTATAATTAACTATTAAAGTTACATTATCACTCGCAGTGCAAGAACATGTTACCAAGACCTAAAACTCTATAGCTTAAATTAAAAAAATAAATTCCTTTGTAGAAACAATTTTAATTGAAGATTCCGTTTTAGAAACTATTTTTTTTAAACAACACAACTGGTTCTCTCACAACTGGTACTCTCTGTTTCGTTCTAATATATACATATGCATAAAACTAATGAAAATGTCAATCATTAAACTATAGTTTTGATCTAATGTATTTTGCAGCACAGAATAAAATTAAAGACAATAGGAGTATGGTTAATAGTACAAAGGTAAACCGCAGTTGTAAACTAATTCTATTTTAAATATACATGTATAAAAAAAATCTAAAGGTCTTTAATTGTGACATTCTTAAAACTATTACTAGGATGGAAGACGACATAACCGAAAAATAATTAAAAATATAATTTTTCTTCATCTCTAAAGCTCTAGCTCCATTTATAAATATATAATTGTGTCATTTCTTAATTGTGTTCCATTAGTTCATATTGAAGCGCGTTCACATACATATATAACTGTGCGGTTGTATGTATGGAACGCACGTAAAGAATTTAAAATTTACCAATAATTTCAACTAAAAATAGCAAGGCTGCAGATCGAAAAATAATTCAAACAATCGTAACTGTTTAAATTATTAATTGGTCTATAAAATAATCGTAATTGTTAAAATTACTATTCTTATTAAAAGAATTTGCTTTACTTACCATAGAGTGTCCCAGATATTCAGCTGCATTATCGGATATATAAAGCAGTTTACCATTTTGGGTTAGCATCATTAAGAAACCGGATAATGCCTAAAAATAAAATAAAATTAACAGTTAACGAATATTGAGTATACGAATAATTAACTTTGAAAGAAAGAAATGGATCAATTAATTTTTGAACACTGAGAAAATGAATGATGTAAACCCGTTGTACTTTAGAAGAAAACTATCTGAGCCAGTAATGCTGCTAATTTGTCCCTATTAAAATTTTACATTATTAAAGTATTCATAACATTCAAATTGATAAAATGATTTTTCGAGTTGAGTCAATTTTTGTTTAAAATCTTAAAAATTTCCCATTCTTTCAAGCATCTGATATCTTTAAAAAAGTTTATTTAATCTCGTACTGAAAATCAATTTGAATATGTTCTTATGACATTTTATATTCTGTCCTTATTGCATACAAATAATTTTTGTCCCCATGGAATAGGTATTCATCACAATCATTACTTATCTTAAGTTGCCTTTTAATAAAGTTTCGTAAATATTTGAATGGGATTAAATATTATCGCTAAAAAAGTGACTAACTTGTTCGATCTATTTTTAGTGTACGATTGTTTTCGCGGATTTTTTTAAATTAGTCAACTTTTTAAAACCCTTCAAAATATTTAAAGTTTATAAAAAAATTCCCATGCCATATTAACTTTTTTTAATTTAACAACAATAATCACAACAAAAGATGAAAATACTGAGCGTTTTAGTCAACTTCAGTCAGATTTTTCCTTAAATACATTTTTAAAAATTTACACTCGAATGCATTTTCGTTAATATCCGAACTGAAAATCTTATTCTACAGTGTTTTTTTTTTCTCTTTTTTTCATTTGAATTAAAAAATTTTTGGTCAATATTTCGATTTGATTGCTATTTTATTATTTTTGCATTTGTTTTTTATTTTGTTAATCTCACTAAATGCACTGGCAAAAATCTCTGTGGGAGATATTTTGCCTTCGCAAAAATAAAAAATAAATGCTATTTTTTAAATATTAAAAACATAAATATTATATACACACAAATATATTATTTACGATTGACACTGAAACTACAAACTTAAAAAGTGTGTGAGTGAAGAAATCCTTCAAGGAATTTTAGTACAACAATTTAATCGTAGAATATTTTCATTTGGAATTTTTAAACATAAATTTACTTTTTACTTTTGTCACCCTAATATCACTTGGAGATATTTGTGAAATAAGAATAATGTGACTTTTAGTTTTCGAAAATTTGAAAGTGATACTTTGAATTTACTATTGTACAGTAACATAAAATGTAGTAAGGAATAAATGCGAAAATTTATGAAACAATTATTTTTTAACAATAATTACAGACTTTATATGAAATCAGTGGAATTGGAAAAAACACTTTTTCAAAATTAGACAATTTGACATTAAAGCCAAATCAATACCAAAATTTTGAAATTTTATTTCATAAAATATTGGGAGAAAAAAAATTAAAAATAAAAACTACCGTAAATATTTTTCTCTCTCCTATTGCTGACACTCGATTTTGTTTGATTTTGTTACATTTTTGGGATTTTTAATGCATTGCTCTAGATGTTCCATCTTGTAAAAACACAATTTTTAAAAACATTTGAAATTTCGAGTTAAATTTGAAATCAGTATAATCGTGATGTTAACCATAAATTTATATGCATCCATTTATATTATTAATATATGTATTCATTCGTATTTTTGTTTATATAACACTGAAATTTTCCGTTCAATGAAACTCAACACCAAACCAACTTAAAAACTGAATTATTTTAGATAAATCATACAAATCATACTCACAGACACATCTAAAGAAGTAAATAGTTTCATCAAAAATTCACAACTTTTGTTTCTTAATTCAGCTTTGATTTTTTATTGTTTTCAAAATAGTCAAATCCGTATTTAATTATTTTTTTCAAATGTTTGAACAATATAGAGATTATTCTTATAAAATAATAAAATTATTAATAAAACTAAAATATGTTTAAAAAAAAAACATTGTAATCAAAATTAGGATTGCTACTCTTATAATTTCTTTGACAATCTTTGTTATTAATAAAATAATTTTTTTTATTTTTTACTTTATTTACTCACTAAAGTAGGCAACTTATTCACTGTTGAAAAAATTTCAAATTTAAACTATTCTTTGAAGTTTATAGAAGTTTAATGCAGGAATTTTTCACTCCTTTAATCGATTTCATTCTGTACAGGAGTTTAGAATGATCTTTTTATCACCTGCATTTAAGTTCAAAGTCAAGCAATGGTATCAATATTTTTTATTAAGTTTTTCTTTTTCACTTTATTAGTGAATTTATTATAAGGATTATTAATTGCACAAACAAAAATTTCTGGCGTTTTAAGTTTCATAAAATTGGCATAAGTTTGTAATTATCGTAATACTTCAGTTTTCATATTGAACAGAGTTAGTAAATTCGTACAATACCAACAAAAAAAATGTGATGTGATCAGCACATAACCGATCGCGGTGTATATTAGCCTGTTTAGTCAGAGTGTTACAGAACATTGTGAAAATGCATTTTAAGGAAGTTAGGAAGCTTTTTGTAGATTTTCACTTTGTGCCATTCAAACGCCCTGGAAAGGTAACCAGTTATCGGCCAGCAAAAGGTTCAGTGCCAAAAGTCTGATATATCCAAAAATCCGTGCCATAGCCAAATAAAACTAACATATAAAATTTCATCCAAATCTGCTTAGCCGAACGTGAGATACACGCGTGCACACACAAACCGACAGATCGACACCGCTCTGAAAGTAGTTTATTTACTGTTCCCCAGTATGGAGAAGTGCGTTTCCGCCGAAAACTGGACATCCAAAATTTGGTTCCATCACATAACCAACCTCATTCTACATAATGCGGTCGATAATTTTTTAATGTGCTGACAGGTTGACAAATTGGTTTTCTTAAAAAAATATCTCAATATGAAACCTTAAGCCTAAAAATGTACAATAGTTTGTCTATGACTTAGAAATTCATTTTTTTAATTTGGAAAATATAAAATTTCTGGTTTTTTTTATTTTGGCTAGCAGCTTAATTCAATGATTTGTAAAGCAATTAGAAAACCTATATAAACATTATTAATCATTTATTTGTTCACATAATAGATTGTTGAATATATTATATAGCTCTTAATTCATATAAACAATATCGCAACCACTCTTATTTCATTTTATTTACATTTTCCCACAAATTCTATGTTCTCAACATAGAATTTTATTAACGTTTCTTTCCAAGCTGCAAGTGGTATATAGCATTAAATCTTACAATGATTGTCAAGCAGTAAAAATGTATAAAAAAATTGCATATACGTATAATTATAATTTTCATGAAATATGAGTGCAGTTGTATAAAATTAAAAAACAAAAACTACAATGTATGGTAAGGTTAAGGCTCATTGAAAAATTTAATTGAAAATTATGAACAAATTATTTAAAGCTTATTTCTACAACAACAATTGATTATGTTTTGGCAAGTCACCATTAATTTATTGGAGGAAAAATAAAAAAAATTAATGTAGAAATTTAAAAAAATTCCTATACTTAAAACAATTGATTACTTTCAGTTTTAAATTAATTGCATTTTTACTAGGACATTTGGTTGTTGTTTCGTACCAATCACACTTTGATTTATATGCATAAGTTCTCAGAAAGTGATCTACAATTGTACAAATTCACATATGTGTACAAGGTAATTGTTTGGTTTACACGCTAAACTATCAAATATTTAACTAGTCCATTGGACCGCTGAGTTCACTTTCAGTATTTTTATCCTATTTAAGCATCTCGAAACAGTGGTGTAGGATTATTTCGCGATCCTTAAATAAGGAAAAACAGCACAACGTATCAGAAGTGAACGAGACAGCAGTTATGTTCAATTGCCTACTACATTTTTGAAGGAGGAACGGGGTAAAGTTGTGGTTTAAACGCTTGGCAAATGTCTTATTTAAAATCGTATTTGGCATAAAATCCCAATTTATTCTCACAACATTCACATTCATATAGCGTCAAATATCACTGAAATTCAGTGATATGATCAAAATACTGTTGTATTATGTTTTGTTTGATATTTTGTAATGTAATTATTTACTTTAAATTCAAAGAAATTTTTAATTTTTTGATAACAAATTTATATATAAGTCCATTTCGGCTATGTCACGGATTGATCAACTTTTGGGATATTTTAGTGCCTTTGAAATAAATTTTCACGGTCCGATTTTGCATTATTGATCATGCTTAAAAAAAAATTGAAGAATATAACTTTTAGTTTTATACATAAGCTTTGTTTGACAGTGCTAGAAATAATTTAATGTGCTTTTACTTACGTGCCAAATTTAACAGGTTTACCACATTCAAGCAACTAATTAACCGAAATAATTTTAAATTTAATATTTGAGTTTAGCTTCCCATAGAAACTAGGTCGCAAACTTTTCAGGGAATTCAGACGGCATAAAGTGAACCACTGCTAAAAGTCAAACTTATATTTTTCTACGTATGTTTCTAAGTATTTTAGCTTGCTAGTGCCTCTAAAATTTGAAAGAAGTGTTGCAATTATATTTTCTAAATCATTGTGAAAATGTTTTCCCAAACTACATAATACATTTTGCGGATAATAAACTTCTTAATCGGCTAAGTTGCAACACCAAATTACGAAAATCAACAAAAACGAATCTTGAATTTATTCAAATTGTTTTTTTTATGTCATATAAAAGACTATACTGCAATTAGTATAGTTCAAACCAAATGTAGGTATAATTAGAAGTATATTAATAATATAAAAATAGTCAAGTTCAAGTAAATCTTTTAGTAATTTTATATAAAAAGATCAATAACTCTTAAAAGGATCTACCAATCACCTAACAGAATACTGTGTCTAAGTTTACTTTTTTCTTGGTCAAATAATTGTTAAAATAATTAACAATTGCCATTTAAGAAAAAAAGTAACAAAATAATTCTTTCAAAATTTCTTTTTAAACTTTCCCAACGCAAGAAGAAAGATTTTCCATGATTTTCTTTTTTTCCAGAAAAAAGCACTGTTTTATATTGTGCAAATTACCCCATAATGGAAATAGTAACATAATAGAAAAATGGTAGTGTGAAAAAATAAAACTGCAAGTTACCAAAATATTATGTTACAAAATATGAGAATTGAGATCATTATGGGATATAAAAAAAACACAAAATTTTTAGTTGCAAGTTTGTAATATTGATAACAGTATTTAAAAGCACTTAAAATCACTAGTAAACTTAAATTCATACACAATACACTAGTACAGCATTTTAAGTCGTCGTATAAGTTTTCAAAATAACTTAAAACTATATAGTGCAATAGTATAATAATGACGTTGGTTTGTACTATATTATTGTATAAATATAATAAAATGTCAGAATAATAATTTGAATAGAAAGCGCCTCAACTCAAAACTATTGTTGACTTTATATAGACTAAACGTGTTGTTATTTAATTTCAATATTCCACCGACGCCATATTGTTTTCACTACATGCACACGTATATGAGAATGTTTATGATATTTTTTCATTGAAAAGGTGAGACTTCTTTCTCGCCTATTTTAATTTTTTTTACTTTCATACAATATTAAACAGGATTAATCAAATAACAATGTAAATTTGTTATATATTGTTGTTATGTTTTGTTGTTGTTGTTTTTTTTTTTTTTTTTTTTTTGAAAACATTTTCTTGTTTTCATTATTTTTGATTTATGACAATTATTTTTCAGTGATTTAAGCGCAATTTGAAAGAATTATTCCTGTTTTCGTTTCTCTATTCCTATTATCACTAATATCATTAATATGAAATCACAAAAATGTAATAGATGATATGATTGAAAAAATTTAAAGGCTCAAATGTTCACATTAACTGTTATTTCTAAAGGGCGATTTATTTTTATTTACGTTAACTTTTTAACTTTTACATTTTGCATTCATAATTTCACTTCTTTTCTTACTGAGAAATAAGTTAAGTCAGTGGGATCCTGAATTCAAAATTACTCATGTTTCATAAGAATTTTTAAAGCTTGTGTTTACTAAAATGCATAGCGGACTTTCAAATTCTTATCCCAAATTATTTTACTGCACTCTAGAAATTATTTAGTAATTTTTTAAATATTAATCAAAAGATTATTGAACATATTGTAATTTGGAATTAATCGTCGTAAAAATAACAACTACAAAAAGTATTATTATACTACAAATGAATCGTAAGAGATCAAACTAAAATATGTATATTTTAAAAAATATACACATTTACAAAGCGTAAAATGTTTATTGTATATTGTCGTAAAATGCGTTTGTAAAATTTCGTAGTTCGAATTGGGAAATGTCAACATACAGTGAATGAAATCTCATTCATAATCGCACCAAATCAAAACCGAATTATCTTTTTTTTTAATAAAATAGAATGTCATTTTTCCAACAGATTACGCGTTCTTCCTCTTAGATTCTTGTACTTTTTCTCAAAATATCAACTGAACCTATATAACCTTCATAATAGAGTGAATCAACAATGATTAAATTTTAAATACATTTTCTAGAAAAAGCGAAAAAATTCTTCACTCTCGAATATTACATTAAAGAAATATATGGTAGTTCCTCACTTTGTTACTAAGCATGTAAAACACAGACACACGATCACGCCGTTCAAATTTTTAGTGAGTTTCCTCAACGTTAGTATAAAAACGGCTTGCGTAACATATTTCAATAGCTTATATACATACATAAATATTTTTGATTATTTTAAATATTTTAAATGTTATATATAGTGTTAGATTCCCGTGTACTATATTTTACTTATTTCAAAAACGCGAAGTGCGATGAAAACATATGGGAAACTTATCAACTAATCACTGTTTTATGTCAAACGTTATTTTATGAAACGTGAAAATTTTTGTAGAGCACTCATCATTCCGATATAAACTTTTTTTCCGATACTCAAATAAACCAAAGAAAACTTGATATAATTCTCTCTCTTTCTTGAAATCTACATAACAATGGAAAAGAATAAATCGACAATGATACAGTTAAATCATAGTTATTTGCTTTTTTGTTCTTTGTTCTTTTTTTTTGAATTCTTGTTGTGTTTTTATATATCGTGGGAATTTTAAATTGGTTTCAGATAAACCCTTTGGTGTATTACAGAAAAATAAAAGGAAATTACAGATTTCTATCTATTTTTTATGATTATTGATTTAATTTCTTGTTCTGTACTTCAACAAGTTAGAAAGATGTAGAATATTACGAGTATTCCAGAATTTAGGGTATTGAATTTAAGTTTTTATTTTTTCTGATTCTTTGATTCACTTCAAATGTTTGGTTGCTAATTTAAAAATTTTCGATAATGTTTATTAGAAAATTTTTGTTTTGTGATTTATTGCTTCAATAAAGAAATGGTAACAAAGGGTTTTGAAATCATTATAATAAGAATATGAAAAATATGTATATACAAAAAGTGTAATAAAAAAATATATTAGAATCTATTTGAAAAACGGTTTAGAATTGATTCCGTTCTATTCGTATACAAGTACAAATACTGTTAGCAAGAGTAATACCACATTTTCGTAAAATCAAAGTGTGCACAATTTGAATTCAGTTCATTGAACGAATGCTTCAATGAACATTGGCTGTCAACTATGTAGCTGAACAACTACTGCAGCGCTGACAAACTTTGTGAAAGTTGTGTACACTAGATTTGGTTTAGCTTGAATGGCAATAATAAAGAAGAAATGAAAGATTTCATATAATATTTTGTAGTAATTAAACAAATTAATTACATATTTCGTATTTTATAGAATGTTTGTTAAATATTGAAAATACAAAAAAAAATTGCTGGCAAATCAATTAACTAATGTGATGCACATGCGCTGTGTGCCATGAGGCTGTAAAAACATCGAAATTGCCGCTGCAATATACCAAAATTATGTTACGCGGGAGTTAATGTGTGACGTAACGTTTTTATAAACCTCTGTGTTTCAGTTAATGTCGGGAGCTAAAAAAATTTGATTCTGACACGATTGCTTCTTTATAATTTAATTTTGTACTTTTAAGAATGAATTAACTAATTTTGAAAATAATTCAACAAATGTATGCCATACGCATCTATTCAGATATAGCTTAGAAACTTATCAAGATATTTCAGAAAGACTTAATTACTTTCAAAATCTTGATTTTATAAGCGATGAAAACGATCCAAAGTTGGATAACGTTTTAAAACAGAAACAACATAAAGTCTTAAAATATTAGCGAAACATTATTCATAATATCATATAAATCAGAGCGTAATATTATATAAATTTATTTTTTTTCTTATAGATACCGTCGATTTTTAGTTATGGTTTCGTTCGTGTGAAAATATCGAAATAAGGCACCAAATTATTACGAACAATTTAGAAAAATTGTCGTTTAGTTTTACACGTGACTTTCTTTTTGGATGCTTTCTTGTAATTTCTGCAATAATTTATAGAGATCTTTTTATAGAGATTTCTGTTTGATCTTTCATATAATCAAAGAAGTTTCAACGCCAGATAAATTTATAAGGATCAAATCGAAATACGTACTAAAAGACTTATTCATAAGTGTGTTAATTGCAGTTAAAATTATTCAAACTTATTTGCTTTTTTTACAAAAATAACTTATAGTATGAAATTTTAAAAATAAATTGCACACAACGTTTAAATTAAATACATAAATGTATGTAACTTATCCATATGCTCAAATATAGCATATTTATCATAGTGATATTTACCTTGGAAAATCCTATATTTGGTGTTGGCGCATGGTGTATACCAATATCATGTCGCTTAAATACTGAAAATAAGAAAAAAGAATAAATTAAAAAATAAAACTTACAAAATTGGTAATAAATTTTTAATGGTAATAAATCTTGTTTAAATCTGGATTCTTAGTATCTATTACAAAAAATAAAATAAAATTAAAAATAAAATAAACAAAAAAAACAAATATACAAGAACGCAAATCGGAATAATGCAAATTTTCAGTAAGCGTGTTGAAATGGGGCAGTTAAAATTCTATTTAATTCTTATTTATAGCTAGATTTGTAGTTTTTAAAAGTAAAATAAACATTGTCCACATATTTTAGTATTTATTATAGAAGTTTTGGATACCGGAGAAAAAACTTAAGTTTAATTAAAAAATTTTCCTTCAGCAAGTAATAAGTATTTTGATTCATGTGAGTATATTATTCAAAGTTCTGATTAGTAATTTTAGATATCGCGGTGTTTTGAGTCAATTTAAACTTCTATTTGAAATTTTGTTAAGTAATGTCAACCATGTGCCAATAAATACAACTTGCTATATATTTTGAAAGAACATATTTTTAAATGTCAGTGAAATGTACACAAATATTTAATTACAATCACAGTATTGCCACATGTAATGAGCTAAACATTATGGCAACAAATTGGATAATAGTATAAATTACTGAATCGTGTTTTTAAGTTTAGGTTGAATCAACTTACTAAGTAGGTCATAATGGATTTATGAAGTGGAGTCATTGCTGCTCCTACACGCAGTGTTATCTACACCCGCAGGCAGTAGAGCGATGTCTATTGAACTCAAAAATTTTAGAGAAAATCATGTTTTCAGAAAAATATCTTAGAAATTTTGAGGCAAAATTTAGTAAGAAATTTTGTCTGACGATGCTAATCTTTAGCTCGTGCTTGCAATAAAAAATATTACAAAAGTACTATAATTATATTCAAAAATAATTTTTAATTGCATTTTCTTTACGTTACATAAACTTAGTAAGTTAAATGCCGATTGATTGCGACACTTATTTTATGTTGTGTATTCTTCATATTTTCTATTTTAAAATAAAATAAACTCAAAAGTTTTTCTAAAAAATTATGTATACATACATGTACATATAAAAATAAATCAAGTAAAAACGTTTCAGTCGGTATAAACCGACTGAATAATACCCTGCACTTTGAGCATCTGAGTTAAAAAATTTGTTTTTGAAATATTTAGAAATAACCTTTGTTGCTAAATGGAAATTCCTTGAACCAGTCAAACCAATAGAAACTTCACGGATATTATGTCTGACCTTTAATATCTTTTCAAATATTTCAAATTAGCTTTGTTGTATGTAACAGCGTAGTATCAATTAGGAGTTTTTGTCCAGGCCAGGAATGCCGACGTAGAGTCGAAATGGCATAGTTAATGTTGATAGGGCTACTGTCTTTGTTAATAGCAAGGTTGTGCTTGAGTATTTTGTCCCTACCGTAAAATCGCGCCTAGAAAAGCGGTGCAGGACGGTTTTGCGATTTTTCTGTGGGTCTTCTCGATGGCCTAGCTAGGTCGGGCGCATTTGACATAACGGGAATTGGTCGTGCATTGGCGATACTGAGGAAGTTTAGGACATTATATTTAGGAGCGTCTAAGTATTCTATGGTTGAGGAGGAATGGAACGAGAACAGTTGTTATATTGGCTTTAAGCAAGAAGGATATTAGCATTACTGCCGGTACTTCAGAAACATTACTGCTTCTTCTTGAATACAAGATAGCCTAGAGATTGGATGTTGTATCATTGCGCTGCAATACGGACACGTTGTACTCTGCAAATAGCTACCTGATGTGATAGAGGAGAAAATATCTGGAATGGATGAAGAATGTTAAATGGCTTAGAGGGTTTCCAAATGGCTTCTTAATGGCCTCCCTTACAACTACTATTACTACAGTAATATTAAAAATATTTTAGATTGAATAAGCTTATAAATGAATAGATAAAATGGTTAAATTGCCGTCCTGTAATATAAATATAATTTTCAATATGTAAGTGAGGTTAATTTGTTTTATATTATGTAGCTCATTTTAAGGAAGTAATATAAAGTATAGCGAGATCATTCATTGTGTATATTGGCCTGAAGTTTTTTACACAAAAACAATGATGGACAGGTGGATTGAAAGTGTGACAGGCCCATTTTTTTCAAAATTTTTTTGAAAACATGATAATAGAATTTACATAAAAAATTATCTTATTTATGTATGCAATTTCAATGTGAAATTCGTAGAAACTTTGGAAAAATTTGATAGGAAATATTTTGGCTTTAATCATCTTTATCCCAACCCACTCTGTTTATACTAAATATTGTGTTGCAAAAAGCTTCGAATTCTAAAAACAAATGCGCCTTTAAAAATTATACATTAATTTAAAAAAAATGCAAGAGCTTTTAATTTAAATTCCTTTAAGTATTTTTCTAAATCATACTATAATATTAAGTACAAAATTAAGAAAAATTAGTCAACATTATTTTTTAAAGAACGCTTTAATTATAATGTCTGCATTACACAATATTTTAATATTTGAATAAATTTGCATTTGTCAACTTTTATTCGCGGTAGCAATTAAGCATATAGATACGAAACATTCTATTCAGAGTGACGGGCTCCAATATTTTAAATAATTGAAAAAAAAGCATAATATCAAAAAATAAAAAATTAATTCGAAAAAAATAAACAAAGATAAGATGACAGTCGGCATAAACATAAAAAAATAAATTTTTATAATTTACATTCAGAATTTATAATTGTAATTGATGTTTTTGATATACTCGTATAGTTAGAAGAAGCGTTATAACTGAAAATTAACATTTAAGATTGTTTGTGAACAGGGATGTGTCTTTATGAAAGCTATTGAAACGAGTATCTCACATGCGAACCTGATTTGTTTAATAATATTAAAATGCGTACTTCAACTAACGTATAATTAAAAAAAACCGATTTTTTTTGAATCGATACTCCTATAGTAAAGGAAATATGTCTAAACCAAGTTTATTTTATTTTACCTTACTGATAATGCTAAACTGTGCTGCATCCCTGAGTGTTGTCAAATCGTGTGATACATTTACATATGTGTAGTTATAATGACGTAATTTTTCATAATGCACCTTCTTAATAGTAATACAACTCGTATGCGTCATTGCATGTTTCTTAATCTGACTTCATACGATTTTCAAGGTATTTAATAATTTTTTATGAAAATTAGAAAAGAATTAATTCTTATTTAAATTTTAGTAATTATTTATGTAGATAATAATTTATTTTACATATACATACACAAAAATATTATATAGTAATATTATATAATTAGCTATATACAAAAGTTTCTATGGAATTAGTATTTCGATTCCCTTTCCGAAAAAAAGACTAATAAATATTATTTGAAGCCAAACTAGAGAAAGATAACCTTTTTTATTATGTTAACACAAATATTATTTTCATAATATTTCATTTTGATCTTCATTTTGCATAATAATTAATATTATTAAATTTAACATTCAATGTAATATTTTAAAATCTCAGGCCAAATAATTTAGGCAAAATTTCAGTACTGTGTTTTCAATATTTTCTAAGATATTCAAAATACTATAGAAGTTTCTGCTACCAGAAAGAGTTACGCAATTTCAACGACTTTTATCAAACACCTTGGCCCTACTAATATATTCGCTTGTGTGAAATTTCGATTGCTTTTATAGTTTCTGGGATATAGCCAAATAACTTTTGAAGTTGTATGACAGCTACCAGATGGAACCGAGAAATTTCAACGAGTTTCATCATACACATCGACCCTACTTACATATTTACTTTTGCGAAATTTCAATATCACAGCTTTTACAGTTTCTGAGATATAGCCAAATAACTTTTGAAGCTGTATGACTGCTACCAGAAGGAGTCTACTTATACATTTACTTGTGTGAAATTTCAATACCTCCACTTTTATAGTTTCTATATGATATACCCAAATAAATTTTGAAGTTGTGTGGCAGCTACCCGAACCAGTACCCCGATAATATACAATTTAAATAGGGTTCTGGTATTTACTATAATAAATCATTTGTCAAAATTTGGTAACCTTTATTTGGACGGACAGACAAAGCTAAGTCGACTCAGATTTCGACGCTGATCAAAAACATATACTTGAGTCTATATCTCAGACCATTATTTCTTAGCGTTACAAACGGTAAGGCAAATTTAGTATATCCTTCGAACATACGTAATATATTATTATATTAAAATATTTGTTATTTTAATCAAACACAGTCATCCCTTGCTTCCCGTCGTGTGATTTTTTAAAATCTTAATGTAATTAAACGGGGAGCAATGTAATGTAATGGCACAGTTGACGCAATAAAACGAAGCAAATTAAAAACGGTTCATTATAAAATGTATTTTAATTTTTTATAATCAGACCTAGAAGGGGACGCTGTTGAAGAGACTAGCAAGCTGCTTGAACAAATGGTAGTAGCTGAGAGAACTTAGCACCCGGGACTTAGCACCCAGGAATATCATCTCTTCTACAAGCTAGTAAAACGAGAAACGGGTAAGCCTAGAACCTGCATATAAGTTAACAGACACGTTAAAACATTTCTTTGCTCTAATTTCAAGTTTCGGAGGTCATAGCCAACCGATCAAGTTTGATCATTGGTTGTGATGCAAATGCCAGACACATACTCTGGGCGAGCTCGAAGACAAAGAAAAAGGTACTTACATGATTTTATCTTAAGCAATAATTTATAAATAGCAAACAGGGGCAACATTCCAAGTTTTACTTTTCCGAGCACAAACAGCTTTGCTGGCTGCGAAGATGTCCTAAATATAACATTTAAAACAAACAATTATTTAGCGTCCGAGTGTGCGGACAGAGTGGTCGAGAAGAGGTCCTGTACGGACCAAGTTTGGATTTTCTTCATGGTTGTGTTCAAAACTAAATCTCTCTTACCATATCGGAACCCAAAAAGAACGAATTGGGTTAAATTAGGGCTGTTGTGCGGGACAAGCTCACGACA